AGGTCACTTTAAACGTTAATTTTAGTCCCCGTACCCTATAAAATCTTCATTTTTGGAGCTATAGGAAAATTTCAGCCACCACTGTGTTTGTCTCATCGAGAAGCAGTAGCACATTCGAAAAAATCCGAGGTCAAGGTCATAGGTCAAGGTCAAGGTCACTTTAAACGTTAATTTTAGTCCCCGTACCCTGTAGAATCTTTGTTTATGGTCCGATTGAAAATTTCGGCCACCACTGTGTTCGTCTCATCGAGAAGCAGTAGCACATTCGAAAAAATCCGAGGTCAAGGTCATAGGTCAAGGTCAAGGTCACTTTAAACGTTAATTTTAGTCCCCGTACTCTGTAGAACCTTTGTTTATGGTCCGATTTGAAAATTTCGGCCACCACTGTGTTCGTCGCATCGAGAAGCAGTAGCACATTCGAAAAAATCCGAGGTCAAGGTCATAGGTCAAGGTCAAGGTCACTTTAAACGTTAATTTTAGTCCCCGTACCCTATAAATCTTCATTTTTGGAGCTTAGAAAATTTCAGCCACCACTGTGTTTGTCTCATCGAGAAGCAGTAGCACATTCGAAAAAATCCGAGGTCAAGGTCATAGGTCAAGGTCAAGGTCACTTTAAACGTTAAAATTCGGATTCAAATTCGAGTAATGATTTCGCTCAAAATTGGCATACAGATAGCCCATGGCACGCTGAGTTCGAAAATGGTGACCTTTTTTTCCTAGGTCAAACCGTTTGACCTTGAGAGGTCAAAATACTGCGTACCCTGTAGAATCTTTGTTTATGGTCCGATTTGAAAAATTCGACCTTGACCTTGACCTATGACCTTGACCTCGGATTTTTTCAAATGTGCTACTGCTTCTCGATGAGACGAACACAGTGGTGGCCGAAATTTTCAAATCGGACCATAAACAAAGATTCTACAGGGTACGGGGACTAAAATTAACGTTTAAAGTGACCTTGACCTTGACCTATGACCTTGACCTCGGATTTTTTCGAATGTGCTACTGCTTCTCGATGAGACGAACACAGTGGTGGCCGAAATTTTCAAATCGGACCATAAACAAAGATTCTACAGGGTACGGGGACTAAAATTAACGTTTAAAGTGACCTTGACCTTGACCTATGACCTTGACCTCGGATTTTTTTCGAATGTGCTACTGCTTCTCGATGAGACGAACACAGTGGTGGCCGAAATTTTCAAATCGGACCATAAACAAAGATTCTACAGGGTACGGGGACTAAAAGTAACGTTTAAAGTGACCTTGACCTTGACCTATGACCTTGACCTCGGATTTTTTCGAATGTGCTACTGCTTCTCGATGAGACGAACACAGTGGTGGCCGAAATTTTCAAATCGGACCATAAACAAGATTCTAGAGGGTACGGGGACTAAAATTAACGTTTAAAGTGACCTTGACCTTGACCTATGACCTTGACCTCGGATTTTTTCAAATGTGCTACTGCTTCTCGATGAAACGAACACAGTGGTGGCGGAAATTTTCAAATCGGACCATAAACAAAGATTCTACAGGGTACGGGGACTAAAATTAACGTTTAAAGTGACCTTGACCTTGACCTATGACCTTGACCTCGGATTTTTTCGAATGTGCTACTGCTTCTCGATGAGACGAACACAGTGGTGGCCAGAATTTTCAAATCGGACCATAAACAAAGATTCTACAGGGTACGGGGACTGGAACTAACGTTTAAAGTGACCTTGACCTTGACCTATGACCTTGACCTCGGATTTTTTCGAATGTGCTACTTCTTCTCGATGAGACGAACACAGTGGTGGCCGAAATTTTTAAATCGGACCATAAACAAAGATTCTACAGGGTACGGGGACTAAAATTAACGTTTAAAGTGACCTTGACCTTGACCTATGACCTTGACCTCGGATTTTTTCAAATGTGCTACTGCTTCTCGATGAGACGAACACAGTGGTGCCCGAAATTTTCCGATAGCTCCAAAAATGAAGATTTTATAGGGTACGGCGATTTTTAAAGTGACCTTGACCTTGACCTATGACCTTGACCTCGGATTTTTTCGAATGTGCTACTGCTTCTCGATGAGATGAACACAGTGGTGGCTGAAATTTTCCGATAGCTCCAAAAATGAAGATTTTATAGGGTACGGGGACTAAAAAACGTTTAAAGTGACTTTGACCTTGACCTATGACCTTGACCTCGGATTTTTTTGAATGTGCTACTGCTTCTCGATGAGACAAACATAGTGGTGGCCGAAATTTTCCGATAGCTCCAAAAATGAAGATTTTATAGGGTAGGGGGACTAAAATTAACGTTTAAAGTGACCTTGACCTTGACCTATGACATTGACCTCGGATTTTTTCAAATGTGCTACTGCTTCTCGATGAGACGAACACAGTGGTGGCCGAAATTTTAAAATCGGACCATAAACAAAGATTCTACAGGGTACGGGGACTAAAATTAACGTTTAAAGTGACCTTGACCTTGACCTATGACCTTGACCTCGGATTTTTTCGAATGTGCTACTGCATCTCGATGAGACGAACACAGTGGTGGCCGAAATTTTCAAATCGGACCATAAACAAAGATTCTACAGGGTACGGGGACTAAAATTAACGTTTAAAGTGACCTTGACCTTGACCTATGACCTTGAACTCGGATTTTTTCGAATGTGCTACTGCTTCTCGATGAGACGAACACAGTGGTGGCCGAAATTTTCAAATCGGACCATAAACAAAGATTCTACAGGGTACGGGGACTAAAATTAACGTTTAAAGTGACCTTGACCTTGACCTATGACCTTGACCTCGGATTTTTTTTCGAATGTGCTACTGCTTCTTGATGAGACGAACACAGTGGTGGCCGAAATTTTCCGATAGCTCCAAAAATGAAGATTTTATAGGGTACGGCGATTTTTAAAGTGACCTTGACCTTGACCTATGACCTTGATCTCGGATTTTTTCAAATGTGCTACTGCTTCTCGATGAGACGAACACAGTGGTGGCCGAAATTTTCAAATCGGACCATAAACAAAGATTCTACAGGGTACGGGGACTAAAATTAACGTTTAAAGTGACCTTGACCTTGACCTATGACCTTGACCTCGGATTTTTTCGAATGTGCTACTGCTTCTCGATGAGACGAACACAGTGGTGGCCGAAATTTTCAAATCGGACAAAACAAAGATTTACAGGGTACGGGGACTAAAATTAACGTTTAAAGTGACCTTGACCTTGACCTATGACCTTGACCTCGGATTTTTCGAATGTGCTACTGCTTCTCGATGAGACGAACACAGTGGTGGCCGAAATTTTCAAATCGGACCATAAACAAAGATTCTACAGGGTACGGGGACTAAAATTAACGTTTAAAGTGACCTTGACCTTGACCTTTGACCTTGACCTCGGATTTTTTCAAATGTGCTACTGCTTCTCGATGAGACGAACACAGTGGTGGCCGAAATTTTGAAATCGGACCATAAACAAAGATTCTACAGGGTCCGGGGACTAAAATTAACGTTTAAAGTGACCTTGACCTTGACCTATGACCTTGACCTCGGATTTTTTCGAATGTGCTACTGCTTCTCGATGAGACGAACACAGTGGTGGCCGAAATTTTCAAATCGGACCATAAACAAAGATTCTACAGGGTACGGGGACTAAAATTAACGTTTAAAGTGACTTTGACCTTGACCTATGACCTTGACCTCGGATTTTTTCGAATGTGCTACTGCTTCTCGATGAGACGAACACAGTGGTGGCCGAAATTTTCAAATCGGACCATAAACAAAGATTCTACAGGGTACGGGGACTAAAATTAATGTTTAAAGTGACCTTGACCTTGACCTATGACCTTGACCTCGGATTTTTTTCAAATGTGCTACTGCTTCTCGATGAGACGAACACAGTGGTGGCCGAAATTTTTAAATCGGACCATAAACAAAGATTCTACAGGGTACGGGGACTAAAATTAACGTTTGAAGTGACCTTGACCTTGACCTATGACCTTGACCTCGGATTTTTTCGAATGTGCTACTGCGTCTCGATGATACGAACACAGTGGTGGCCGAAATTTTCAAATCGGACCATAAACAAAGATTCTACAGGGTACGGGGACTAAAATTAACGTTTAAAGTGACCTTGACCTTGACCTATGACCTTGACCTCGGATTTTTTCGAATGTGCTACTGCTTCTCGATGAGACGAACACAGTGGTGGCCGAAATTTTTAAATCGGACCATAAAAAGATTCTACAGGGTACGGGGACTAAAATTAACGTTTAAAGTGACCTTGACCTTGACCTATGACCTTGACCTCGGATTTTTTCGAATGTGCTACTGCTTCTCGATGAGACGAACACAGTGGTGGCCGAAATTTTCCGATAGCTCCAAAAATGAAGATTTTATAGGGTACGGCGATTTTTAAAGTGACCTTGACCTTGACCTATGACCTTGACCTCGGATTTTTTTGAATGTGCTACTGCTTCTCGATGAGACGAACACACTGGTGGTCGAATTTTTCAAATCGGACCATAAACAAAGATTCTACAGGGTACGCAGTATTTTGACCTCTCAAGGTCAAACGGTTTGACCTAGGAAAAAAAGGTCACCATTTTCGAACTCAGCGTGCCATGGGCTATCTGTATGCCAATTTTGAGCGAAATCATTACTCGAATTTGAATCCGAATACGAATACGACGCTAACTTTATGGACATATTGCAGGGTACTCAGTGTTGCATACATCATTAATGACGCAGACCAAATGTCGCAAAATTCAAACTGAATTCCATGCGATCCATGCATTGTTTCGACTGCTTTTTAATTTTTGTCTTTGCCTCAAATATGTTTCTTCAGATGACAGAAGTGAAAAATGAAACGTTATTACCAGTATGCATACAATCGTTTCGTCTGAAATAATCGCATTGGTCTTCCCATCACATGAATTTGGCGGACAAAGCATTCAAACAAAAAAGATGAATATGTAAACTTCCCGCCATCAAGCCCTTCTTCACCTGCCTGCAGACCAAACAGTTTCGGTTCCCACAATATCTGTATTCACAATTCGTAACACCGTCAGCCCGGCGGCCACTCTGGTCTCCCTGACACCCCGGCACAGGCAGTTCCGGTACTATCTGCCCAGCAGACACGAGGCAAAGTCGACGCGCGCCTCGGAGGCCCTGCCGGCCGCCGTCTCCTGGTCCAGGAGCCACTGCGAGTCGCCGGCGGCGGCCCCGCGCCTTGCGGGAGCGCTTCTTCACAATGGAGGGCGGCGTGACGGCCGGCGTGAAGCGCATCTCGGCAGTGCTGTACATGTCCAGGATGTCCGTCGCAGACCTGGAGAGTAGGAGCCGTGGTGCGGTCAACGTGCCTCAGGCGACACATTAAATATACCTATCAGTAAAAATAGACATAATGTAAAATAAAACAAACGCGTTTAACCCTATTAGTGGCAGGGGGGGGGTTGTTTTTATCCACCCCTCAGGTTTTTCGGGAATATCTCCGAAACCGCTGAAGCTACGATGCTGAAATTTTCTGACTTTTCCTAAAACTAAATTGGGCACATTCCCTGAAAATTTCAAGTTCATAACTTTACCAGGGGCGGCTCCAGAGCACTGGGAATTGGGGGTCCTATTCGTGAAGCGAGTCATTTGGGCGAAGATCACGATGCTGCACCAGTTTTACGAACAGTGAATGAAAGGTATCATGTGATAACATATACAAAGTTATTGTGCATCCTCTTTTGACACGTTTTTGCTATAATAGGCGGATCCAGGCGTCCAAAAAGGGGGGTTATTTTTTACCTCCCAACATGGTGCCCTGACACCGCCTATGCATGACCAATACAATTTTAGTCGTTCTCTCATAAGAAAATTGTAACATAACAAGACCATTGCCACCCTTTTTAGAAACAGTACCAACAAAAACCTTATTTACTATACTTTTTGTGTACCCCCAATCTCAATGATCTGTATCCGCCTATGATTTTTGAAAATGCATATTTTTAGGATCCATGTGAATTCCTGGTTCATTCTCTATCGATCGGCAAAAGTTGCGTTAAGATTGGTTCAGAAACCTGGCCGTGATAAACAGTCTAAAATGTATCTGCAATTTGCCCGTTTTTACCCCCCTCTACCCCCCTATTGACATTTTATAATTTTATTTTTTTAGAAATGTAGATCTCGTTGAGCCAAATCGAATGCCGTTTGAATTTTGAAAATCGGCCGGTTAGATCTCGAGATATCAAGGGGGGGGGGTCGTAAACAGCCCCCCCTGCCACTAATATGGGGTAGCCAGGAGCCTGCCACTAATAGGGTTAAGGGTCCAAGGGAACTACAAGAAGTAAAAAGGCCAGCGGATCACATCATTTAAAACGACGAAGCATAATATAATTTATATTTAAAAATAATACAAAGCAATACAATGGTTTGCAAGTTTATCTTTTACGTTAGACTTGGTTGTAATTATCTAAACCCTTCATACATCACTAATAACTCACTGCTGACGAAGGGCGGCCGGCAGCGCGAAGTCGCCCTGCACTGGACACGAGAGCATCACGTGGGCGGCCAGAGTGCGCACCGGCTGATGGTAGCTTCGCTGAGGGCACCGTACGGGAAATAAACCGTGACTGAATGTAGCAGCAGTGCATAAGGCACGGAAAACATAGAATGGGGGCAGCCAGCATAATTTGGAGGAACATTTTTATAGCATGCTCTATACTCTGTAGTACCAATACGCCTTTCCGATTCCGAAGCAGCCAGTAGAAAATGGCGACCTAGGAATAAATACCGAGAAATGTATAAGAGCGCGTTTTATTCAATTTCTTACCATCACTCAAAAAAAAAAAAACTACCAGAGGCGAGCGAAGACAAATGAAATGCACAATTCTGATTTAATATGAACTATTAACTAAATATCCTTGAGACTGCTTCTATAAAATATTCGAAAAGTGTCTGCACGAAAGACGTCCAAAGAACATTCTGCACTGCCGTACAGCACTCACTACAGGAAGGCGATATGATAAAATAGCAAACTATTGACGCCGGACACACTATAAGAAGCCGTCAGGTCAGTAGCGGGCAGCGTGTATCGGTCGGACTAAGCCTAAGGGCTCCGAGTCAGCGGTAGTTCTTGGTGGACTCCGGGATGGCGGTAGTCATTGGTGGACTCCGGGACGGTAGTTATTGGTGGGCTCCAGAAGTAATTGGTGGACTCCGGTAGTTATTGGTGGAAGGCTCCGGGACGGCGGTAGTTATGGGAGCTCCGGGACGGTAGTTATTGGTGGACTCCGGTAGTTATTGGTCGGGGCTCCAGGACGGTGGTAGTTAATAGTTATCGGTTGGGCTCCGGGACTCCGGTAGTTATTGGTCGGGGCTCCCGGACTGCGGTAGTTATTGGTGGACTCCGGGGCGGTAGTTATTGGTGGACTCCGGTAGTTATTGGTGGACTCCGGTAGTTTTGGTGGAAGGCTCCGCTACGGCGGTAGTTATTGTGGACTCCGGTAGTTATTGGTGGAAGGCTCCGGTACGGCGTAGTTATTGGTGGACTCCGGTGGTTATTGGTGGACTCCGGTAGTTATTGGTGGAGGCTCCGGGACGGCGGTGGTTATTGATGGGCTCCGGGCCGGCGATATTTATTGATGGACTCCAGTAGTTATCGGTGGACTCGCAGCGACGGTGCCACTGATTAATGACACTGCATGCACCCACGAAAACTGCGGGTGTCATGACACCGACACCGTCAGCCGCGAAACATGCAGCTGAAAATCGTTCATCAGAAGTCTATGTCACAATGAAACACGACTTTGATGGACGGTCAGCAGAATTTGTTTTAAATGGCCATTCGTGCCGTGTCAAGGCTATAACCATTGGGAACGAGGCTCCATAGCCGACCCAATCACCTCGGTCCGTATCGATCGCGTGGCTTACCGACCTGACGGAGGATAGGCTACACATGGGGAGAGGGGGTACGTCCTGCCCGGTACCCTCGCGGCACAGCAGGTTCCACACACAGTTTCCACAGAGCTCGAGTTCGACCGGACAGCCCGACACGCCACAATGTGGTGCGCCACCGAGGGGGAGCGCGACGCACTTCCCAAAATAGCCCTGCCTCACCGACATAAGGCTAGGGCAATAGAAAGTCTGTGACTAGGTAATTGGCACAACCAGGATGCATTATGTCGGCAAACATGCCAGTCCATGGACTAAATGGTTGCCGTTGCCGTAATAGCAAAATAAACAATTATGAAACACACGGCTAGGAAAAAATAGATTTGCACAACTTGAAACAATTATATGGAAACAATTTCAGTTGGGCAGAACGGCGCCAAAATCTGATCACTGAAGCTCCGTATGGGTTGACCGCCTGCCACTGCAGACTTGTGATGCTTTGTAACTATGTAAAATAGTCGGGTAATCTATCGCCGAGATAAGCGGTAGACGCAGCCAAGCCGTATGCAGCCACAAACTCCTGACGAGCCAGTCGAAAATGCATCGGCCGGGAATCGAACCCGGGCCGCCCGCGTGGCAGGCGAGCATTCTACCACTGAACCACCGATGCTTACGATGTTTGCCTCCCAAATTCAAAATAGATCAAAGAGACCACCAATCATGGCTCCCATCGTAATAGCCCGATGACGCCCACTGAGGGATCGCTGCCCACCACGTGGTGCTAAGGTCTGACCCGCTGGGACTCACCCGGAGTGCAGTGAGCTCGTAGAGCAGGGTGTTGCCGGCGCCGCCGTACTCGGGTCATCGACCTCGGGCCGGTACAGACCGCTGGCCACCGACTCCGTCCAGCAGGCGGCTCGTACACGAGTGCACCTGGCACACGAGCATGAACAGTCAGAGAGACAGCCAATAGAACGTGGCCACAGACAGACTATTCCATTGCTCGTCGCTTGCAACTAGCTTCGACGAACTAAATAAAATGCGGAAATCCAATGTAGACCCCCCCCCCAAAAAAAACTAGGGAACATTCCAATAGCCAAAACACAAACATTTCTTCCCTCCCAGCCTCCCACTAACGCCAGCCCCTTCCTCACCATGAGAAGCCCTGATCATCATGATGCGGCGGCGGCGGCCGGGTGGGGCGCCCTCAGAGCCACGACGCCAGCCGCTTGGTGAACGAGAGGACCCGCTGCGGGGAGATTTTCTTGCGGCGTCGGATCAGCATTACGTCCAGGAGGAGAGAGCGATCCGGAACTCGTCACTAGTGTCCTCTGGGAGCGGAGGGAGGGGGAGTCAGTCTGGGGAGCGGAGGGGAGGGGAGTCAGTCTGGAGCGGAGGGCAGGGAGTCAGTCTGGGGAGGTTAGGGACTAGGCTGCCGGCGAGGTCAGGCAGGGGGAGGGGGTATAAAGCTGCATCTGGCGCAGCGCACCCGGTTATACTGAGTAGTAAGTAATCTTGGTTATACTGACGAAACAAACACCACGGCGGAAGTGGGATGATGTCAGATAACCGAGCTCGGCAAACTCGTGGAACATCGCACATAGAAACGGCAACGAAAATAGAAAACATAAGTGGCGAATGGCGATGATTAACATTGAACACCTTCACACATACGTAGGAGCTCAAAGGTTATTGTACTGTACAAGCAGTAATCGGAAGGTGGTGGACCCACAATACAATCTACGCCAAAGCGGTTGGCGTTAGTCGCGATCGCGTAAGTGCAGGGGAAATGGCAGGAAGCAATCGACCAAACTGGAGTCTGTTTGATGTGTCCAGCTACAGTCCGGGACGGGGTGAGGGTGCCCGAGCACTCCCCTGTCCGGGGGAGGGGGGGGGGGTAGCCGCTCCCCCGAGCCATCGACCCCGCGGGACGCGACAGAGGGCGTGTTATGGTCTGTGAGCAGCCGAACTTGAGGGAATAGGGCGCTCTGCCTCACTGCTCTTTCGCAAAACATTCGTGTCACCGGAGATCAGATAATGACATAGTTAAATTAAATTCAACAGTTTTTAAGCCAGCTCTATGTGGAGAAACCTGAATAAAACGAAGTGAGTCAGACGACGTGAGCCAAGACGGCTACTTTTGAGACGATTATCTATATTATTCTGGAGTTCGCTGCACAAGCCGATACCCTGTGGGTGGGCTCTCATCAAGGATCCAGCACTGGAAGCACGGCCCAACCCGACCACCCGGTCCCACCTATCCCAACCCACCAAGGAAGACATCACTGTGCGTTAGGCGAGGTCCAACCCACCTAGACAGACGTCGTTGAGGGCCCGGTAGCAGTGGCCGTAGAAGCGCTGCGGGTCGATGTTGATGGCTTCTCCTCCCTGTCCGGAGAGCATGACAAACACGGTCTGCACGCAGAGCAGCACCTGACGCGTGGTCTGCAGGGTGCCCGAGGCCAGCAGGCCGTGGAAACTGTCCACCAGGTCGTGGAAAAAGTCCACGTTGATCATGTGAGCGAACCTGTGACCAGAGGAAGGACAGTGTGGTTAGAGTGCGATGTGAACGCATGAGGGCGGGATTTCGCTTACCGGAGCTTAGCGCGACAAGATATCAATATTTGAAAGGTTGTTATATTCACTGTAAAGGTGAGGGAATGAAAATTCGACAATGAGTGGAAAAAATGACATGTACCAAACTAATTGATTGAGGCATTTGGATAATAGATGCATAATTATTAAAATGCAAAACACGAATGATTAGCAATAATCGATGGGTTGGCCATAAATGCGATTAGGATATGCGTTTGAATGGACGGGATGGCTAGATAATACAACAAAATGAGGACAGCCTACAAAACAAAGCATACCCAGCCCAGTTCACCTCTCCCATCTAGCCCTATTCATCCCGTTCAAACCGTCTCCGTGCCGCCGCGCCACTCACTTGGCCAGTCCCTCCAGCACTGACGACATCAGCGCCGAGCGGGCAGTTGACGCAGGATCTTAAAGTAGACGGTGAAGACGACGGTGAGGATCTCCGAGTGCCGCTTCTGCTTGTCCTGCTTTTCTCCTCGGCCCGCGTGGCCATCAGCTCGCGCTCCAGGGCCTCCAGCTTCTTGGAGCGCTGCGGACGGCACCGAGCGACGGGCAGTGAGCACGGGAAAAAGAGGGGATGGAGATTGATAACAAGGGGCAATTAGTAAATGTATGAAATACCACAGAGTTTTTGGCAGGGACCAAATGTCTCAGAGATTGATTAAGATAATGGTTAACAGTGCTACTAGATTATTATGTAGCTTTACTAATACAGCATTGAGGCCCCACATTTCCTGCTAAATCATAAACTCACTACTAAACCGGAAACGCTAAGATAACTCAGATCCCGTACCACTACACATACCTTCCGCTCCTTGCGGGACATGGCCTTCAGCTTCTCCTTGAAGTTCATGAACTTCTTGGCCTTGGCGTCTGCGTCCCGCTCCCGGTCCAGGTCGACGTTCTTGATGCGCAGCGCCAGGAACAGATCGGTGATGTCGCGTCGGCAGTCGAACTGCTTGGCCTTGATCAGTTGGCTGAGCTACGGACAATCTGACGGGCGGAGTCGGGGTAATAGGGTCAGACTGGTGACGGGAGGTGGGGCTAGAGGAGCAGGGTGATGGCTGATTGGAAACGACTTCAGTCACCAGCGGTTTGGCAGATACTGCTCTACGAGTCCGCAATCATCGATAATTTTCCCCGACGTAATAACAAAGGCTCTGCTCTCATTGAGTCGTTACAGAAAGGGAGCAGCAAGCTAATTGCATGCAGTTCATAAATTCATAATCATGTTTAGCAGTAATGCCACAGGCAACTACGACTTCAACAAGATAAATATCGAACACTCAGCCGCCTGACTGCCCCTCCTCCTTCCTCTCGCCTCGAGCGTTCTCCCTGCTCAGCACTCTGTCCCACCCTCTGCAGCCCCTCTACTGAGCGGTCCTTCTCCTCACCTCCAGCGTCCGCTCTGCCGACCGGTCCTCGGCAAACACTGTCCGGATGGCTGCCGATACCGCCGCGCGCACCGCCTCGTCCCGGTGGGAGGTGTGCGGCACCAGTGCGCCCACAGGTTCGACGCGAAGTTGAAGTCGCGGACCGCACCAGACACTGGCACATGCAGTCCAGGCAGAACATCGCAAGGCCCTGCCGGCCGGAGGAAAAAACTAAGCACAAAAAGGGAAAATGTGACAACCACGATATTCATGAAAAAAAAACATTGCACTACAATAATCCATTCACCAGCTAGCACTATCAACATAAAAAACAAATATATTTACTTGTATTTATGCGCTGATACTTATAAACAAACGAAATAAGCTGCAACATTGCAAGATTAAACACAATACTTATCGACGAAGATACTGATGAGCAGCATGTGCATGGATCCGAGTGATGGATCTATGATCTCAGTGGATATCGAAGCAAAGTACAGGTTGATCTATGATCCCACCGGATCCGGCGTGAAAAATACATCTTGGATCTATGATCTCAATATGATCTGACGATAAATTAAGAACATGGATCTATGATCTGAGTGATCCCACCATGCACCACATTTGAAACCATGTTTTAAAGGGTTTCTATGCCAATTAGTGACACAAAACTATGGATTATGACGTGCGATCACATGAAATCACTACAGCAGAACGTTTGTGAGTTGAATCAAGTGCTTTTTTGGGATTATGTGTTCTCAAAAAATAAGTGAGGATCTATGATCTCACCGGATCTCAAGCAAAAAATGAGACTCGATATGATCCCTATGGATCTCTCGATAAATTACAGAGCTGGATCTATCATCCCCGACGGATCCGAGATCAGGATCCGTGAGATCAGATCCCAGATCCATTTTCTCGGATCCATGCACATGTCTGCTGATGAGTCTCTTGCCCTAAACTCAGCATTCCGCGATGGTTCCGTCGCCCCGTCTCCTACCTTGAGTGGCGTCTTGATCGGAGCCGAGCGCCTTGGTGTACTCCTCCAGCTTGATGAGGTACTTTTGTACGAGTTAATGAGCGCGTTCTCGTACTTGTACGTGGCGATCGTCTCTTTCTTCAGCTTGCGTGGAGGTCGTGCCCTGGAGTCGGTAGCCGGGCAGCAGGTCCTTGAACACCTCCAGCAGCGAGGCGGCCCGCGTACTTCCGCACCGTCACCATCACCGCCGGGTCGCGCTCCGCGAGCAGGTCCAGCAACGGTACAGGTTGTCGAACTGAGAGGAACGGGACGTTACAGTGTCCACAGCAGGTCCAGCAGACGGTACAG